ATACGTTTAACGCACACATTTATATTTCCTGATAAAAAAACAACTTATTTTTTATTATCTTTCTAATTTTGTTTTGTTCTTTTGCAGCGATAAATCTTTAGGTCTTATTAAAATCAAATGGATAGATTTATTTCCTTCGAATACACTATGTAGACAAAGGTGTACCACTGTTGTACCAGCAACACGCAAGTGGACGCGGTCCATTACCAGTTAATCCATTGAAGCAGCTATCTTGCACGAACGATCCATTCGAACGTGTTTCAGACCTGCAATGTAACGTCGAAGCTATTTCTAAGGCAGATGAACTATTTTTAATATGGCTGTCTCCTACTTCACACTAAACGTCTGATAAAAGTAGTACTCATCTAACACCCACTCAGTTTATAATAATAATTAACACTAATAACAGTAATAAAAATAATAGGCAAGCAAATATTTTGCGGAATAAGATTAAGTTCCAATCAAGTGGGCTCTTTTTGATAAAGATAACGACTTACAATTGGGTCTCTAAAAGAAGTACAAACTACACCTTCTCTAGTCACGCTAATGCAAGCCCAATTACCAGATCACGATTGTCCTGAGCGACAAATTATTGTCAACCTTAGGTGTCAAAAGAGCAGAATCACCGGTCTAGAAGTTAGACTGAGTTAGATTCATCTCTCAAAATTCTCTTTTCAAAATTTATTTTGCTTCTAAATTCAAATATTTTCTCGTGGCTGGACATTACGTATTTTTTTTTTGTCTGTTGGTATTGTAGGGTATGCGCCTATGTGCTTCTAACGGGTTCCTTTCTGTCAATACTTTAACCCCCTAGAGGACTTAATTACAATATCTGAGACAGGCTTCAATAAAACTCAACGCCGTTTGAATTGTCTATTTTCACATCTATTAGATCATTAGGGTTAGATAGCTAGATAATACAACATTTTTTTTAACGATAAAGGAATAGCTCCCGTAGGCTATAATACTGAAGCACCTTGAGATGCCTAGCAGAAGTAGAAGAAAGTAATTTAACAGACTGTTAACGCGTCCCATTTTAACTCTAACTTTGAGCGAGTATATTGTCGAGCACCCTAAGAGTAAAAAAAAACTGAAGCCTAGATCACTCGCAGGTTGTTGCGTGGAAACGTATCTGAGAAAATCAGATTCACGCTAAAAAAAATTCCATAAACTTTAGCTCTGCTGAACTTCTGTGCCAGTGTCAATCGGGTAGCGATAGCTACCTGACGACTCAAACGTTGACGAGGTTCATGGCCACCATTGGTTATGTGGCACGAGTCGCGTCGTGGCATAGCGTCGTTGGCTTGGACAGGGATGTCTAATTCATGTGAAACTTTTTCTAACTTAAAAAAATGAAAACATTTCAAATATTTTAAAGACTACACATGGACGATACCTAATGTTTGTGCCATCGCGCTGAGGTCCTTTAGATGTATTCGACGGATACCATCGTTTTTCGTAGCCTTAGGGTTATTAAATGCCATTAAGGAAGAAACTGTGTGGTGTCTATCAACTCATATAATAATGTCCCCACGATAATATAGTGGTCTCGTGACCTACTAGGCTTTGGACGTGTGGTAATTTGGCCTCGAAATTAGACCTAGACACATTCGTTTCGTGCTGGCAATGCTGAACAGTTGTACCGGACCTAAAACTCAAAACCTTCAATTTACACTATAATCCAACAGCTTTCAGCAAGGATTCAGTCCTTTGCGGTGAATGCCCTATGTGTTTGCTCTAAAGAACACACGAAAACGCATAGACAATTAAGGTAGCCTTGATACCAGGATGTATGTTCCGCATAATGAAAATGAATAGACTTGCCCCGTGAGAGAGAATTCATAACAAAAACCTTTCACTTAACACGATTGCTTTATTGAGTCGCAAGCAGTCGCTTGATCACTTATAAATAAAATATCCTTTACGGTAAGCGTCGAAGCATGTACTTCCTTGGACAAATGGAATACACAGCTACTTTTCCAAGGTTAAACAAATGAGCAGTTTGGAATCAAAGTATAGGTCGTTGCCTCTGGATCAATGTACTCCTTTTATTATTTAAATTCAGCTAAACAGACTACCGCTTACATTATTTGTAAACAAAAGTTAAATGTGCTAGACTGGATCCCAGTCTAGCACATTTAACTTTTGTTTACAAATAAGCACGACTTAAAGATGTATCGGCGTAGCAAATAAAACTAGCGAATGTGCCCCTAATAATAAAGGCTTGAAGCCGAGCAAAACTTCGGGGTAGAAGGATGACGATTGGAAAGAAGGATGTTTGTCTCGCTGCGTGAGTGTGATAGTAGGTGATTTTATAGTAAACGAATAGATACTGAAAAATTTTACGTATAGTAACAATAACTAATAGTGGTTAATAAAATCAGTTGTATGTATGGAACTAATTATATACACAGTTGCCATGATGAGTGCGTATATGTTTCAGCATTTTATGATGTCAAAGGTGCTGCCGCGGAAGCTCGGCAACAGGGTTAAATCGACACCTTGAATCATCATACATATAGGTTCAGGTTAATTAGCTTGTTGGCCTTCTTCTAAGCTTCCTCGCTACGGATATATATTTAGACGAAAAACAGCATGGTTGTAAAGAACAATTAAGAGAAACGCAACTTATCACTCCGCTGTACGAAAATTTGACTAGAAGCATAAAGAAGAAAAAAGGATTTCAATAGTGTTTGCTTAGATTTTAGCGAAGTCTTCGGCAGAGTTAGTGATCTCTTATTCTTTACTGAATTTCGTTTTCTTCACATTAGCTACCTTACATATGACAAAAAGAAGCTTACTTTAGAAGGAATGTCAAATCTTCGTACGTATAAACTTAACTAAGAAGTCCGTTAGAAAGTTAAACTTATTTTACGTGGTTTTCATTTGGAGAGAGGCGCCAGGTTCTTGTTTCTAAGAACCTGGAGCCTCTCTCGTAGGTTTAACTTTGGTATCAGCGTGCGAAGTTCGTGCGGCTACAGTCTCGACTGTGTACGCGTTCGAAAGATGATCGAAAAATAGGCGAAACTCTACGACTTTGATAAGGACGCTCATAGACGTAAATCAGGACCTTACGTTAGAATAGGCAGGAGGAATTCTAAATGCACCAAACGAGACTGGCCGCATCCATTTGTTTATTGAAGGATGGCTCAAACTTTAGGACGTATGAGTTTTTTTATGCGCTTTTCGATAATCACCTGGAACAGCATACGATAGCTTATATATCGTCTCGACAAAAGTTACATGTCTTGTCCTACGTGAGCACAATCGCTACTAAAGATTTACGTTAAAACTAAAAAATACTTTCAGACGAGTTGGGAGCTTTGACTGTATGCGTCGCTACCATTTAGGTTAAAATAAGGTGATTTGATTTTAAGCGCTCTCCCGTAATGAAACTATCGCCGTGGGCATCTATTTTGATTTAAAACAGTCCCTACTTAAATACAGACATAATTAATAAGCAAGCAAAAGGATTGTCTTGCATAAAAACGACGTTTTCCTTCATCCCGTCACAAAAATTATGAAACTTTGCCGGAAATGTCATGTCGTTACTATCATATAGCTGTAACCTTGCGTTGTCAAGTTGAGATCTATTTGTGTCCCTGCAAGACTGATGTATATATATTCATTAATTATATAGTCTGAAGATCTTCTTAATTGGAAATTTAGAATTATATTACACCTTTTTTCTCCTGGATTGATGTTTTTTTTTTACTGATCTGACTTTCTTTTGGTATTTACGGCGAAGACTCGATCATGATGAAAAACAGATCACACGCGACAACAGCTCATCATTTCGACGAGGAAAGGCTTAATAATCTTTGGCAGAGCCCGGATTGACGCCAAATAAGGTTATGCTATATGTTTGATGGCGTTAGAAAGGGGTCGCGCATTACGAGTTGCTATCGGCTAACAAAACAATTGGATCGGGCCTCGACTATCAACAAGTGACAAGAGGTCAATGAAAAAAATTTGCCCCAATTACTGAATAAATTATACCTCGTCACCCGCCAGTTTTTAACTGTTCAAAAAAAGACGAGACCATGAACATTCGCCGTATAACCCAAATCCTATATTATCAGCCTATCATCTCTTTCGGTCTTTGCAGAACTATCTCAGTGATGTTAATCTAGTGCCAGGGGAGGGACGCAAAGATAATTTGTCACAACTCTGCGCCCATAAACAACAAACGTTCTACAGTGATAGGATCAGGATGTTTTAAGAAGACTGAAATCGCACGTATTTGGCTAAAGGAGTATTGTTTCAAATAAAAAAATGTTTGCTTCAGTTAGGGTCGCCGACACTTTTTCGAGTACCCAACACACATATATATATATATATATATATATATACGTGCATACGCAAACAGTTTTTACTTTACTCGTATAATATTACGATCAGTTTAAATATGTCGCTAACAGTCACCACAGACATATATAGGTGTAGCTCTAAAATCCGCAAGAGTACTAGTTTTGCCACCTATTGTCGCCTTGCCTACCTGTCTTTCTTCTTCTTTGAATATAATAGCTGAACAATAGGGCTTGTTCTAGCGCGTTAACTTCTCTATAGCGATGTGCAGGTATAATAATAAAGGTGCAGTAATCCTTGATCAGCTCCGTTGTTTCTTGATTAGCGCTGTCGCCATATCACGTTTAACGTCGAAATGGTTGCCCCAGGCTGTGCACCCACTATGCTACCCCGTGTAGGCTACCCGTAGCTATGTTTCAGATACATGTCAATTATGCATACGCAAAGCTAGCATGCTTAGTCTAACCGCTGATGAATCTTGTTGGACTAGCCGATCGTTTTTACGAGCATCTATATAAAACGGCTATTTTCGAGCACGATTTTCTGTATTATCCAACTATATCTTCTTTGACTCTTTCATGCCCTGGCAGTTTCCGTGTCGAATGAATGTCAAGATCGTGACGTTCGCTGTCTTCGGCGGTGTCATTTATATACCGCGCAGGCAACGATCGCAACGAGGCATTGGCTTTAGTCCGGTTACAGACAGCAATTGCCCCAACCTTGTCATATAGCTACGAACTGTAGATCAGCAGAGCAACAATATTGTTGTATCGCGTACAGCAGTACAGGCTTTTTTGCCACAAAACCAAGGATCTGTGACGTGTGAGATATAAGCAGAATTAGTAGTCAGCAAATACACCTATACATAGCAACTATGAAGAAGAGGGACTCCGTATTCGTGCTTGCTGTTCTCTGTGGTGTCATTGTCACCGCACATACGCAGGTAAGTGAAACGATAAGGGCTACCCACACGTTTCCCTATTTCTACGCGGTCGATTTTCTAAAGTAATAAAAGCTGACTTGCCCTGACATCTAGAACTTCTACGTCCTTCTTGAGACCAAGAACCTGACGGAACTTCAGCTCTTTGCATGACGCTCTAGACATGTAAAATGTTATTTCAAACAAGTATCAGGTCGAGAAGTGAAACGTAACAGCGGGCAAAGGCAATTACATTCACCAGCGATACTCACAGATTCATACGCGGTATGTTTAGCCCCTTAGTATCAAATGAGTAATTTTCGAAAACGTAAAGTAACTGACGCTTTTAAAGCTCAATATAAAGAGTTTTATAATATAACTTATTATCTATCTCTGTAAGTCTCTTTTGTTTATGTTATGTGAACATTTTTCGACATCATGTTCTCACAGATCGGTGAAGATAATCTTCAATTAAACGCATGAGAAGCATCGCTTGATGTTTTGCTTACACATTTATTATTCAAGCAAGTTAGTCTCTAATCAAGCTAAACTATTATAATATGATTGCTCAAATAAATTAGCCATCAGCATTCGATTTATCTTCGCATTCTCAAGTAAACTTCATGGGTAGCAAATCAATAAGGGTCTCCTAATTTGCGTTTAAGGATTTACTTTCCAAGTGTATTTTTTTCCATTAGTGAAGTGCAACGTAGTACTAAAGCTTCAGTTTCAATACGGGAAATTGAAAAAACGAGACATTGGGTATGGCAGCTAGCAAGTTCGAAGCCTAGAAACTTATTTATTTGCCTTGGCAGTGGCTCAAGATATGAAATTTCGAAAACATGGCGGAGAATACGTTGGCTATCAAAAAATGTTTAATAAACTTTATAAAATACGTTTCAGTTGCGTAACGTAGAGAGAATTTAAGCGGCCTTTACAGGGGACATTTTGACGAATCTGCTTGGCGTAAATTAACACGCTAGTGGAAAATATCAATTGTCAGTTCGAAGTGTACCGAACGTTGTCTTTTACGTAGTTTTCTGGGTTTGCTTCTACCAATATCCTATCAGTATCACTGCGGATTCGTTATGGATACATCTCAACCCGGATAAGCAACGTATTGCCTTAAGAGCTTTCTAGCTTTGGTATCGTAGTCATCTACTTTTCGAACCAATATGGAACATTCCCTTGAACTATAAACAAGTAGAAATTACTTTATATACGTAAAACAACAAGAAAACTATATGCTCTGAGAATGGAGTGCGTCTTAACTTTTATGAACGAGATTTTACGACCCAACATGCTTAAGAAACTTTTCCACTGAAACAAAAAGAAAAAGGGAAAACGATGAAATGCCAATTTCAAACGATTTTATCGCATTTTTAAACTTCTATAGATTATCAATTTATTAGGGTGTCCATATTGCATTTTGACTTGGGTCCTCCAACGTGTTATTAAAAATGTTTTACCTTTGTGGAGACAAACCAGGCAGTTTCGTGTGACTTACGTTGTCGCTGAAATTGGGTAGCATGGAAAATGAAAAAAAACTGAACATCTAAAACATAACCTCGCATCATGATATCCGTGTGCTTAAATTATTGTAACTAAGTCAAGATACGACAGGAACATCGAGGAATTAGATCCGTGGTGACTTCGGCCCTCGGTGGTCCTCCTTAACGATTAAAAAGGGTCTAATGTTTGCTACGTGACCTAGTTTAAAGCTTTTCAATTCAATGCTAGTAAGGTCCGGATTGACAGCCCGATAATCGATTTGTAAATTCGTTTCGGTGTCCTGGACTTCTTGGAGCAACCTCAGCTAACGGTGCTGTATAAAGTAATAGATTATGATGACGGAAATTGTACTTGACAATCTCTATGGTGCACTCTATCTCGTACTAATGATTATACTACTAACAATAAATCGACCGCGTTCAAGCAAACTAGGTTCAATTGGTACATACAAAAATATGTGGTACATATAAAAATATCATATATTCAATAATATACATTTTACTATCGAACGACATACGACTGGTACGCTGCACAGTGTAGGTGGACGTCAAACGTCAAACTAGTATGTCGACCTCAGAGCTCTGCTAATGGGCTAGTGCGTGGGTACGAAGTGCTAGGTCTCTTTAGTTTCTATTTTAATATATATATCATCGTGCAAAGTCAACCAATGTGATAAATATAATTTGGCTGTGATGTCAACTGACCCTCAAAAGGGTTATTGTTCTTGCCAATATACGGTATTGAACGCGATCCTTGAGCGTTGCAAACGGCAGCGGGAACGCTGAGTCATCTTTCGAGTGCATGACCTCACTCTATACCTCAGTAATTCTCATTTGTGTTATTATCTTACCTCTTAGCTCATTATGTAATATTCTATTTTGTTTGTTGGTCGTTTCGTTGAATATTTTTCTGTTTTCCATCCTATCAACTTATCTCAACTCGTTCCTGTAACGTTTGACTTAAAGTATTCACGACTGAAAGTAAAAGTTTCCTAATTATTTGATTTCTTACCTTATATAGCTTCTCTTACTTCTTTTCAAATTAAATTTTTTCTATCTTAATTTTAGCGTTAGGTTTTGAATGGCTCGATAACTACGATAATTGCTGCATAGTCTGGTCTTTCTTTTACCATAACTTTCGGATGCCCTAGAGAACTTATTTTGGGGAAACATAGCCGCCTAGGATTCCACTGCATAGTTTCGTAACTTCTCAGTGGCTCTGCTCGAATCATTCCGCCGCTATTGTATTTACATATCCATGAGCGTCTGAATTATTTGCCGGTACACCAATAATCAATCTATTTAAGCTACCATCCTGAACATCGAAGGTCTCTAGGAAATAGTTGGTAATCAAGTCAAAACAACTGGAAGTTTTTCGCGTCGCGGACCCTGTAAGTAGAGTGTATCCTTAATAACTTACCTGTATGCAATGTGACTCGAGTTCTTGCAATAGGAGCCCTATAGCCGTTCTGTTCACTAGTCTTGGCGGAATTCGTTCATCATGTCCTCCGGTTGCTGACATTACATTCTGGCTAAAATCAACGCGCTGCGATTCATAGAGCTGTAGAGCCCCAACCAAGCGCCATAGAGTCATTACAGATGTACGTTTACTTTGGGGCAGTACGCCGCCGGTATATTTGCTTCGCCTTGCTGGTGTCAATGTCTGCAATTATCGTAGAAGATCTATTTTTCATCGGGAATAGGGATTCAGTGCAAGAATGACCCAACGTGAGGGTCAAAAACCGCGTGTGTTCATATCTCCGTTTATAATTCCTGTCCTTTTACGCGACCCGCTTGCAATTTAATTTTTCTTGTTATTTTAATTGGCCAAAACCAACAAATGTGATATTTTTAGATGTATTGAACCTAGGTGCTAAAGTTCGTGCAGTGTGAGACAGGCCAGCTTTTAGCAAGGACAACATATCGTAGTCACCGTTGTAGATGATTTCCCACGAAATTCTTGTAATCTTCTCATTGGGACTTTCGAAAGTAACGGTTCGTCGTGTTTCTAATAGTAGATCCTTCAAAATTTAGGCAACGAATTGTTTCTGCCATTGTAGTGCCAAGGTAGAACATCACAAATTTTCTCATCTTCAATGATCATTTCCACTCGGCAGGCAAACTGAAGTGAGCAACTTCTGGGTAGACTTAAATATGTACATCTGAACGAACGCTCTCAGATTGAGAGATGAAGGCGTGGCATGCGGCATTAAAAAGTGCGAAATTTTAAAATATTTTTTTTGTATTCAACGAAGCAGTAAAACAACGACTGATAACTTTTTACTAGATTGAGATGACCTTTTGCTTCCATTATCGACCCGATTATTTCAAAATGGCTGCGATAATTTATACGTTCAACTTCTATTTCCTCAACCTCACCTTATAAACATCTCACATTTAACGTGCCACAATAAACCCGCTCATCATAGCAAGGGCATTCATGCGCAAGTTGCGAGAAACACTTGCGTTCTTATACATTTTCCTTTTACTGGAAAATACAATCTGCGTACGTTTGAGCGTATTGTTCTTTTGTGCTTGTAATAGTACTTAGTTTTTGTTTTTTTTTAAGTATCGTCTGAACGTGTTAAATATGGAGGTGCTTTGTTCTTTAATCTGTCAACTGAAAATGCTAATCGTGCTGCTAATTATTTGATATATATAATAGCAATTCAGCCTTTTTTTTCATTATGCTCGATTGCTAAGCCAAAATGGCCAGTTAACTTATTTTTAAATAATTATTTATTTTCTTCCTACTCGTTAAAATATCTATGTACTGTTTTATGCGGGCTCAGTACCAGGGGATAATTCCTTTTTTAAATGTCGGAGATTATAATGCAATGCAGTAAATTCTGCAGCCCCCAGCGAGTTTCCTTTTATAAGAATATTTTTCGTTTGACACAGCTTTCTGCACGTGCTACGTGCATGCATAACGCCAGGCTTCGATGTCTGGTCACATCTTGGTTATGTAGTTAAGTTTCTTGTTATTAATTTAACATAGATTGCTTGCCTTTTCTTGAAGTATCTTGCGAATTTACATCAATTGATCTTCACCTTAACGATATTAACTTTAATTTGCGGCTAACTAGTGTCACAAACCTAATTGAAGGCTGTCCTGACGCTGTAGATGCTTCCAGCTCTAACAGTTTTCTGCAGCGTTCTTAAATTTACTGATTATATATGCCAGCTTTACTTTGTTGCCGTTTCAAAGCCAGGCTTATTGAGTAGCGCTGCCAGAATTTGCAGAGAATTACTAGACATTTCTTTGTCAAAACGAGATATTCCAACATTTTCAAGGTTTTGCAAAACTTCCGTTGCAAACGCTTCTACTATGAAAGTAAAAATGTTGATCAAAGAAACAATTCACGATTGTAAAGTAAAATGAAAAAATTTATTTTTAATAGTTTACAGCATGGACTGTTTCGCTTTAGCCTAAAAGCGATCAGCAGATATTATAAAAAGAACGAATGAGGAACACTTACTGTATATATTTGAAACTTCCTGGAAACGTGCGGCTAAAGCCATTGCATAATGATGGTGTGTAAAACGATGTATAAGAGAGTATGTATGTAACGATGTATAAGGAGAGATTCATCATCTAAAAATGCGTTATATCACCATGACTTCCCAATGAGTTACTTATTGAATTTATGCCATATATCAAAGGTTCACAAGGATGACGTGTAAAAAAAAGAGCTCATTTTTAGCTCCATTTAGCCCGCAAATGAAATACTCAACCATTTAGCTATTTTACTGAACTGTTTGTGGAAACATTACGCGTCCTGCCAGCAACAAAGGCAATTTCAGTACCCACCACAAGTACAGTCGGAGCAGCAAGAGGCCCACGAGCCGCACCCACGGCTACGAGAATCACAGCAGCATCAGCCAGAGCCGTCGTCCACCACACAAGCTGAAGATAAAAAAAAGCAGACACAACAGCAAAAACAGACGCCGAGCAGGGAGCCATTTCGTTTAAATTGGGCACCATTTGCACACCGCAAATCAAGGTGGTACCAGGACAACCAGAACCAGCGCCAGAATCAGCATCAGAACCAGGAACAGAGCCAGGAGCAGAGTCGGCCGTGTGGATATAACCCAGCCCAAAATGAAATCGGCAACAACCATGCTAGACCGTCACGTAAGTAATCGCTACTGAGGAGGCACAAAGATGAGCGAGAGGCGACAGGATGTTAATGAAGCCTTGACATAAGCAAAAGCAGTTAGCCCTAATAAAAGGCCAAGACAAGGTTCTGTTGTACTGGGAACTAAGTTGTAAGCAAAACCGCGCTTAAACGCCCAAACGAAGATTTCCCGCAAGGTTTGTGATCACAGCTAGAAACTTTTCGACGTGTGCGAAATATAGACACCTCCCCTTCGGTAGGCTAAGTAACTTCCAAATCCATGTACTGGTCGAAAATCCCGATTCGCCCATAAAATTTACCTAAATAGAACAAAGAAAACAGTTAAAATTCATACGCATTTATGTACATTTAAAGAATGCTTAATCCTAACATAATTTGCATTTTGATTTAGTCACGGATACCAATGAAGCGGTGGTACACTGCGTTGCTAGGTTGGGAATCACATTGAAAGAGGCTATCGAAGCCCTAAAGGCGTACCTTAACCCCATTTTGGGAAATCTCATCAAGAAAGAAGGTAAAGCGTGTATAACTGTATAGGGAAATTTAGATGGAATAGCGCTGGGAGCATATTCGACTAGAACTATTAAACGCACGCACTGTTTCTTTCGTCGTATCGTTTCTTTAATTTATCATAAATCGATCGATAGCCTTTCTAGTAATCGCTATAATAAATATTTGAGGCATTTAATGCTTAATTATGGCCTGAGAATTGTTTGATTCTATACGCACATTTTTTACTAGTTTAAGGAAGGACCTTTCTTGCAGGACAATCTTTGAAGCATAGACGCGTCGTCAGAAAAATCACTGCTCAACAGCCGGAAGGCACGAACGGAGTAAGAGGTGCCAAATATTAAGGCGAATTGAAGCAGAAAACAAAATGGGGGAATACACGGACACGTTTGGATACTAAGCTCTGATACTCCTCTTCTTGTTTAAAAATGTGCCTATTTTTCCTTTGTCAGAGAATATTATAGGTTTTACATAAACGCGTATGGGAGCAGTACATGCTTCCTTTGAATGCTAGACTTTTCGTAGTAGTGAATCCATATAGCTCGCCGTTTATTTTATACAGGTTTGACTAAATAAGCAGAGTACTATTTTATTTCTCGCTTTGCTCGTACAACCAATGACAGAGTTACATCAAGAACTCCTGACCGATCAGGCAATTATCAGGAATGATCGAAGGAGCCTACCATGTTTAATATATATCTAATATTTAAGAATTACTCTAGACGGATGCGAAGCACCAGCTGAAGTTGTTTGATACTGTTAATAGCAGGGCGGCAACTTGCTGCAACCGAAGTACGTAACTTTTGCATTTGGTCGTCATTCTTTCTAGTGGAAAATGAGTGTTATATCAGTGGTTGTGGTGACCTTTCACATGACGCATTTCACGTCAGCAAACGCAAGCAAACGGAGTAAATCAGGGTGTAAACAACAATGAACGAAGCGAACGAAATATGGCAATAAATATGCATTGGCGTATTGCTTAGACAAGAGGCCATCGCATACGCTTGCAAATTATGCAAAGATTACTGACCTGTTCCGTATATTCCAAAAGCTCTACTGAAAAAAAGTATTTCGATACCTGTCGCTAATAAGAACGTGACGTTAAGACAAATTTTTCGAGATTTACGTTCGAAAATTCCGTAAATCGTCGCTTCGGACGGCCGGCTTACGGCGCGAAAAATAATAAATCCACGCCCAGGTTCCAATTTAAACCATCACTTGCAATTTTAGCGACAAACATGTTATCTAGCAAAAAAAAAGGTACCAGTTACATAAGTTTGAGTTCAGGTAAATTTCCTTTAAACAAAAAAAATATGATAATAAACATAGTTAAAATTTGAGATGCAATTAGCTCACGGAAAGGAAACAAAAGGTAATAATTATCATTACTACTAGTCATCATTCTATGCAATTACCTTGACTCGTCAAGCGGAATTGTTCAGTTGCCTACCAAACCTAGAGCATTTTGGTGTCGCTATCGTTCTAAAATTGCGCACCTACCCTGCTACGGATGTCCATCAGTTCCAAAGAGCAACGGCTTTTGAGCTGTTGCCAGCCTGACCAATCTGAAACCTAATCTGAAAAAGGTCACGGAGTGAGTACTTAAAATGTAACCTTTTTTAATCACTACCTATAGTTGCGGATTACTAAATGAGTTGATGAATTTATAACGCTGCCACGATCGCTACCGATGTATAATAGCAGAATTTCAGGTAGTCAGCAGTTTAAAGTCTATAGACTTTAGCAGAAAACTCAAGCATTCTATCGACTATTTGCAATGAATGAATGCAAGTACCTTATTTTCGATATTTATGTCGCAGAAGAGCATGTTAATCCTTCAGAGCCTATAAACAAAAATTAAAACAAGCAATTATATAATGCATACATACAATCAAAATATGCTATTCAAGAAAATAGGTGACATTTTAGCGTAAAATGTTGCTGCATTAATTATATTATTATAAGTAGTAGGAAGAAATTTCCTATTTTTTGTCGATACTTTGAAAGCTAAAACGCTACCAAAAATAAGTTACTGCATTTCGCTGGTGTACGGTGATGGCGCTAAAAAGATTGCTTAAGGGTGGTTTGAAAGCGGTTCCCGCGACCTACAGATGCCCCCGCCTTGATCGACCGTGTGCGTTGAGTGACGACCATTTAAAGTACATTTGAAAGGAGATGGCCGACAGATAGCTCAATCAAGCAATCGGCTTAAAATAATATTATAATGGCTGCATCCAAAAGATCGTGGTTAGACTTGCACAGAAATTTAAAGCTTGAGTATCTTTTTGAACTCAATAAAAGATTATGATTTAGCACTACATCTTAACACCAAACCCAAAATCGAGTATCACCCAACTACAATGCCAGGTTTTTGCACAGAATTACTACTAGTACTAGTAGTGTTTATATGTCAACCTGAGCTAAGGGTCGGAGAGTAGCTCTAGGGAAAAACCAAGGCATCTAAAAATGCTATGCTTTACGTTGGACGTTGCAGTGGAAGACGAATCCGATGTCCTATGTTAGAAACTGGGTTTTCCATGAACCAAAGCTGTCAATAGGTTTTTTGTGGTAAGGATACCGTGCACCTTTCGCCGACATAAAGGCCCGAATGGAATAAAGTCTCTAGCCGCATTGCCACCCCCTGAATGGATTTTTGTAAAACTTATACAGATTCATGTAGACGGCGACATTTCTTGTTTTCATCATCTTGGATATCAGAGTCAAGAATTGAACATATATGCTGCATAGAAGCACGAATTAATTAAAAACAAACCTTAACAATATTACAAGGACACAGTGGTAAAAGAAACGCATTACAGTATGTCTATAAATATCCCTATACCATAATATGTGTTTACTGTCCACAAAAGTTCAAGCCTACTTGACACGCATGGAAATGTAAACGCATGCTAATTCTAATTCTTAGTTGGTGTCTTTTGACAATAACTTAAAGTTGTAATCAGAATTCGCTTTCAGTCGTTTTCTAGAGTTTGAGAAGAGTTTTGTTCAACAATTCCAACACCTACAGAGAAAAGACGCGAGAAATTTCAAATATTTTGTAATGGAACTTGAAAATTGGGCTCGGGTGACTATCTGTTGAAACTAATATCGTCGAAGTCTCAGGCCTTCAAACGGAAGACGTAAACTTCTTCGCATCCCTCAAGACGGACAGCAGTATGATACCAATATAT